AAAAAAAAAAAGAGGAGGATTGGCATTGGATGTTAGCTCAGGGCTGATCTTCCTCACAAAAAAAAAAACCCACAATAATAACATTATATCAAAGGAACACAACAGCCAACTGAAAGAGCTCCCAATGGCCAAAGCTGGGACAATTTGAGCAACAGAATAAAGTGCTATTAAATTATATCCCAAAGTATTAAATAAATATCCACGAGTCCATATACATAAATGACAAACAAACAAATTGGGGGAGAAGAGACAAATCTCCCATGCAGAAGAATTCCAAATAATCTAAATAGGTACTCCGCCCTCTAGGAGGTAGAGCATAACTCCCTATTCCTTAAGTGTGGGCCACACATGGTGACTTCCTTCCAAAGAGGACAGTAGAGAAAGGAGTTAAAAAAACAAAGAGTAACTTTACGGTGAACATGACCAACACTGCCCCAGCCAGTCACTGTCAACAGGGGTGAGTCATGTTGGTAGGATGTTCCCTTGACATGATGTGATGAGAATGCCTCTGTCTCTTCCTCCCCAAAATCTGGATTAACCCATTCTAATTCTGAGAAAAACATCAGGCAAATTCTAATTGAGGGACATTCTAAAAAGTACCTGACTGGTGCTCCTCAAAACTGTCAAGATTAACAAAACCAAGGGAAGTTTGAGAAACCATCATATCTAGGAGGAGCCTAAAGATACATGATAACTAAATGTACTCTGGTATCCTACATGGATTCCTGGAACAGAGAAGGACATCGGCAAAAACTAGGAAAATCTAAATAGAGTATGAATTTTAATTAATAATAATGTATCGGGGGCCGGCCCTGTGGCGTAGCAGTTAAGTGCACATGCTCCGCTGCGGCAGCCCGGGGGGTTCACAGGTTCGGATCCCGAACCTGTGACAAGCACCTGTGACAAGCACCGACACACTGCTTGTCAAGCCATGCTGTGGCAGCGTCCCATATAAAGTGGAGGAAGGTGGGCACGGAGGTTAGCCCAGGGCCAGTCTTCCTCAGCAAAAAAAGAGGAGGATTGGCAAATGTTAGCACAGGGCTGATCTTCCTTACAAAAAAAAAAAAAAAAGCTAATGTATTTGAATATCCATCAAGTGAGTGCATGCGTAACTACCACCCAGTGTGAAAACACTGCCAGCACCCAAAAACCCCTTGTTTCCCTTCTCAATTATGTCACCACCTTTCCCCCTAGAGAAAAATTTATTACTGTGAATTTTATAATAATACATCCTGCGTTTCTTTATAATTTTACCACTATTATACATTTCTAAACAATATAGTATAGTTTTGTCTAGTTTTGAAATTTACATTTACATAAATGTAATCATACAGCATGTATTCTTGTCTGTCTTGCTTAAGAGTTGTCCATGTTGTTGCATGTAGTTAGTTATTGCATGTTCGTTTTCATTACTATGCAGAATTACATTGTATGAACACATCAATTTTTATTTATACATTTTATTGTTGCTGGACATTTGGGTTGTTTCCAGTGTTTCCAGTGTGGGTTATCTGAAAAGGATATTCTGACCATCAGATTTGTGAGATCTCTTATAGATTTCTTTTTTAAGAATATGATTTATGTGAGGCAAGGAGGGAGAACCTGCTGTTTCAAAGCAGGGGTGGGATCTTGCTCCGGGACCAGGATCTAGACTGAGAGTCCAAGAAGCCCAGTGCTGCTGCTCATGCCTTGCCAAGAGGCAGTATGCTCTCCAAGTGCCTCAAGATGATGGGAACATTACTTCCCAGAAATGTATGGACCAGCTCCTTCTCAATTTTATCCACCACTTTGCTGGTGATGTCTATGGGTCAAACAGCAGAAACCTTGATCTTACTAACAGTTCTTCATGCTTTGAAGAGAATGAGTCTTGGGCACGTTTCTGCCAAGGTGGCCTGATAGAAAGGAGGCGGTAAAGTCTCTCTTGCCTTCCCCTCAGATCCTCCTGGCCTTGATAATCCAGGTTCCTGACTCAGGGAAGGCAACTTGCTAAATTTTCCAAGCAAACAAGTCCTTGTATGTGCACATGGGCTTGCACATGTGCACACACACAGACAATGAAAATCTAAGGTTGAGTCAAGGAGAGCTGGTCTTGCTCATCTGGCTACCATGACTGTATTTCCCAATGAGTGTCTTTGAACTAATCGTATTTTATTTTTAACAGACACATTTCTCAGGCCAACTTATTAAGTCTTGTTTTGCCTGTTTTAGCCTCATTGTATTCTGGTCATGACTTTTGTTTATGATCAAGTAGAAGGCAAACGAACCTAGTGATGAAGATCCCAGACTAAAGAGTCAGACAGACCAGAATCCTGCCTTGGGTAGACTTCTTCTGAGCTGGGTAACCTGGAGCAATTTATTTACCCCTTTGGAACTTCAGTTTCCTCAAAGATAAAAAAAAAATAAGAAAACTTACTTCACAAGTAGGTCAAATTAAGTAAGAAAAAAATATGTAAAGTGTTTAACACAGTTCCTGACACAAAAGGGAAAACTAATACTAATGAAGATTATTGTTGTTAATATTAAAAATATAAGAACTGATCTAGTAGTTCCTTTCCTTATGTCTATGGTCAGACATATTGCTAAATATGAGGTTTTAGAATACAGCTATAAAAAATTACTCTGTGACTTTTAGCATTTTATATTTCCTATGCTAATTTGAATTCATTGTGGAATGAAAAATGATGTCCAGTGTTAGTGAAAGGCTTTGTGCTGTTCTCACTTCTGATTATAAGACAGACAAAATTTGTATCTCTTTCCATCAGGTTTATAATTGGAGATTTGCTGGATTCTGAAAATGACATCTTTGAGCAGCCCAAAGAATGGGACCCTCATGGATCAGAAGAGCCACAGAAGGCCTTTGACCATGGGACAGAGCTCATCCCGTGGTACGTGCTGTCCATCCAAGCTGATGTGCACCAGTTCCTGCTGCAGGGGGCCACGGTCATCCACTATGACCAGGACACGCACCTCTCTGCCCGCTGCTTCCTCCAGCTTCAGCCTGACAATAGCACATTGACCTGGACGAAGCCCACTACTGCCTCCCCAGCCAGTGCTAAAGCAAAACTTGGTGTACTTAGTAACACGTCCGAGCCTGGCAAATTCCCATTACTGGGCAATGCTGGATTAAGTGGCCTGGTGGAGGGGGTCTTGGATCTGTTTTCAGCAAAGGCTGTGTACATGGGACACCCTAGCATTGATATACACACTGTGTGTGTTCAGAACAAACTGGGTAGCATGCTTCTCTCAGAGACTGGTGTAACACTGCTCTATGGGCTTCAGACCACGGACAATAGATTATTGCACTTTGTGGCACCAAAGCACACAGCTAAAATGCTCTTCAGCGGATTGTTGGAACTCACGAAAGCTGTGAGAAAGATGAGGAAGTTCCCTGACCAAAGACAGCAGTGGCTGCGGAAACAATACGTCAGCCTCTATCAGGTAAGGGGTGCAGCTTTCCCTCTCTTCTCAGTAACATAATTCTCAGGATACAGATCTTGTAAAAACACACTTGGCAACTAGATCATCAGAATTCATTCTCCCAGCTCTGTCACTTACTACCTGAGTGATATTGGGCAGCTTTTACTAACCTCTCTGTGCCTCAGTTTCTTATCCATAAAATGGGAATAATAACAATACCTATTCATATGGTGGCTGTGATGTTTAACTGAGTTAATATGTGTAAAGCCATAACGTAAATTCATGTGTATAAAGAATAGTATTTGGGGGCCGGCCCCGTGGCCTAGTGGTTAAGTACAGTGCGCTCCGCTTTGGCAGCCCAGGTTCAGTTCCCGGGCACACACCTACATCACTTGTCGGAGGCCATGCTGTGGCGGCAACCCACACACAAAATAAAGGCAGATTGGCACAGATGTTAGCTCAGGGGGAATCTTCCTCAGCAAAAAAAAAAAAGAATAGTATCTGGCTCATAGTACATCTTATTATTATTTTGTATGAAAATAGTGACTGTGAGGGCCAGCCCCATGGCTTAGCGGTTAAGTGCGTGAGCTCCGCTGCTGGCGGCCTGGGTTCAGATCCCGGGCGCGCACCGACGCACCACTTCTCAGGCCATGCTGAGGCCGTGTCCAACATACAGCAACTAGAAGGATGTGCAGCTATGACATACAACTATCTACTGGGGCTTTGGGAGAAAAAATAAATAAAACTAAAATAAATGAATAAATAAATAAATAAATAAATAAAAGCTCTGGAAAACCTTTAAAAAAAAAAAAAAGAAAATAGTGACTGTGGTCATTGTACTTCACACATCTGGAAAGAAACCAGTTTGTATAAGCATTTTCACTTACTCCAGGTTTCACGTGAAAGTATTGTAATCTGAATGCTTTTATTTTATTTATTTATTTATTTTTTGTGAGGAAGATCAGCCCTGAGCTAACATCCGTGCTAATCCTCCTCTTTTTGCTGAGGAAGACCGGC